AAACACAAACATACACACACACACAAACAAACACACACAAAAACACACACACACAAGCACACACACACACAAACAAACAAACACACACACACACACAAACACACACACACACAAACACACAAAAACACACAAACACACAAACACACACACACACAAAAACACACAAAAACACACACACACACACTCTCACTCTCACTCTCACTCTCTCACTCACTCACACTCTCTCGCCCTCTCTCTCTCACTCTCTCTCACACTCTCACTCTCTCACTCTCTCACTCCTCACTCTCTCTCACTCTCTCATTCTCACACTCTCACACTCTCACGTCACACTCTCACACTCTCTCACTCTCACTCTCACTCTCACTATCGCTCTCTCACTCTCACTCTCACTCTCACCCTCCCCCTCACTCTCACCCTCACCCTCAGCCTCACCCTCACTCTCCCTCTCACTCTCAATCTCACTCTGTCTCTCGCTCTCTCTGACACCTAAGCTTCCTCTCATGACGAGGAGCCACGGATGCAGGCAACCCCTGGGCTTGGGGCGATCCCTTCGTGGCTTGGCCCGCTTTCGGAACCTCGTCGGGCTTGCTTTATGCTCTTTCTTATCCGAGCTCTGTCCGTGGCCCAGGCCTTTGCGGCAGGCCAGCCAAAGGATTATCCCGTGAGTCTCGGACAGATTCAGCGAGCATCTCCCACCACTGAAGTCCATGTAAGGCTTTCTCTCGGCTTGGAACAGCCCAGGCAAGGCAGTTTCTGGGATGCTGCTGTGGGGCGCTGCAAGGTGAAGGCAGGCCTCTGACGGAATTTGGATGGAGTTCGTAAGCAGGCCGCCCTTGGGCTTCCACATGTCATAAGTTCGAACTTGGGCGGTTGGCTAGCGGCAATTCATCGGGCGGTTGCCACCTCCAGATGTATTGCCTTGCTTCGTCGGCCGAGCTGCGGGGTCCCTTGTGCAGGGAATGGGACCAGATGAGCGCAAGCTCCGCACGGAATCTCGGCTTGGTTTCAGTTGCTGACGAAGGTTGCAGTCCAAAAAATCTCTTTGGGCGTGCAGCATTGAGGTCCGATTGACTTTGTGGGGTCATGAGGGCACCGCTGTAGGGCTCTTGGCCTTCAAGTGTCGAGGCGAATCTGCTGACTCTGTCTTCGGTTCGGAAAATGCTGGATGATCTGATGATGAAGTGCTTGGAGAAAGAGAACCTGCCAGGAGACTCGTGGCCAACCCATACCTGCAAACCTTAAACCCCTGCCGCAGAGGGTGTACTGGCTGTGGCCAGGAAGGGGGGAGAAGATTCTCTCATTGCTACGGACAATAGAAGGCAAAATCAGGTAAGCACTTGTCAGCATAGGGCCTTGACGCAGAGGAACAGACATGTGTTACTTAGTTTAGTCACTGGACTAATACCTGGTCCCGGACTTTGGGCTTCTACTTTCCTGGCTGCCGCCCTGAGTCGTGTGGGAGGAGCTGTCACGGTGAAGGAGGCAAATCGCATGATGTTCCAGTGTGGCTGAGTTGCATCAAGACACTGAGGACTGCCCACGACTGCCCTGCATGGTGCCTGTAGAGCTTCAGCGGCTCTCGGCTGTGAAGTAGATGTCTTCTACTGCAAGAACCCGGGCACCATATGTAACGATTCTGCAGGGCCTCTGCGATATTAGTCCCTGGAGAAGTAACGTTTTAACCTCTCCCCACGAAAGCGAAAGCTGCTCAAGTCGGAAGGCATCTTGTCTGGCCTGCCCCGAAGCTGCCGCTACTTGGCGAAGAGGCTCCCCTTCGAGCCAACCAAGCCCCTCACTGAGGCCAGGCTGCTGCTTTGAATCTGGCAACTCACATCAAATGTGGTCCTCATGTGCATGATGATCGAAATGCGACTGGTACAGTTCATGTTCGGGTAGCATTAGGCTGCCTCCGAGATGTGGGCTTGAGAGTCTATTCTTCTCAGAATCTCTCACTGTGCTTGCGGGCGGGATGCGGAACGGCAATGCCACTGACGATGTTGATGAGTGTGATAGTAGTGGTGGTACTGATGTCCAGGACCCATGGCGACATCGAGGCTTATGGTGAATAATGGTGGATTTCATGATCACGGGGATGCCGCGAAACTTCGAAGCTGATTCTTTGTTTCGATTCTCACTTCTAGAAGACATGAAGCCTGAGTTTGATCATTCTTCACATCAAGAACAAAGCAGGGGGCTTGTTTTCTAAGCTGTCTGCAGAAAGAGATTTCTGTTTGACCAGGCAGATTGCCTAGAAGCACACATCATTGACACGGGTGCTTTTGAACTGAATGGATCGCAGGAGGACGCAGACATCATCTACTCGAAGGACCTCGTGAGGGAACGAAGGTCCCTGCGCATCGCTGCGTCGGCGGCGAATCAAGTCCAGTATCGCGCTCTGCTAGGAACTCTGCTAGGAACTCAGGTCTCTTTCTGCCATGCTCTCTCTGCTCTGCTGCTTGCGGCAGGTCTTCCCAGAAGTCAAAGCTCTCCGTGTTTCGCCTTACTGGCTTCGACAGGCATCAGTGGACACATGCGTGGCCCAGCTGAACCTGTTTAAGGCTCCGCAGTGTTCCTGAGCAGGTTCTTCGGCCCCTCAACCTTTAGCGGCTCTAGCGTGCACCGTTGTTGTGCCAGCGAAGGCAAGGTCGGAACGCCGTGCAGCTCGCTGTCTGGATGGGGGATTCAGAGCCTTGGACGGGCCTGGAACCTCTTGGGATCGAACGCCCTTCCCATTCCTCGGTGCCCGAGGCTCCTTTCTGATCAAAAAAATCTCCGGATGCTTGAGCCGAGGATCTGTTGCAGAGCCTTTTCCCAGCCTCCGAGCCCATCGATGCCTTGGGGCGGACAATTCTGGACTACGTCCGACCTTTGGCTTGGTTTGAAGTCGGGATAGCCTTTTGGAAGTCAGAAGCGCCTGGAGAGTTCATGGAAAAGCACAGGGGCTCCCGGATCTCCGGTGCTGAAGCTGGCGCCGCCGAAGTCTCGAGTGCCGCGGCCGCGGCCTGGTCCGGAGACGCTGCACTGCGACGGCGAGGAGGGGAGAAGAGTCGGTCCGAAAGCTTGCGCGCCAAGACCGAGCGGTCAAAGTAGAAAGCAGAGTGACTCGTTCAGCCCGCTTGAGAACGTGACGATTTCGCCGGTCACTCCTGGAACGTTATAGTGCGCATAAAGACGATGCAAGGGCCCATGAAGCTCCAAAGCTCTCAATGCTGCTTGCCTCGTAGCAGGAGGTATCCGCGACATATCTGGGATGGACAGAAACGTCTGACTGGCCACATTACGAAGCCTGTGTGACTTGTCCCTTCAAGTGTCGCGACCTCCAACGACTCCAACGGTCTAGTGCAGGGTTGGGGATCCGTCCCATGATGGGGGTCGCATTTTGCTCCGACATCCGAGGACTTCGAAGTGGTGGATGCTCTCAACGAGGCTGACCTCAAGTCGAAGTTCCTCGACATGGGCCGTCTTTCAGCCAAAATAAAGGGGGGCGGCATTGAGTCGACTTTGTGTGTCGGGAGGCTTTAAGAGTTTTTTGCGTTTCGGCGGGCAGCAGCTTGAGGCCCGGTGCTTGTGCGCAACTTCGCGGCCCTTGAGGACCGATGCTCTCTGGCCAAGCATCGAGTGATGAAGGCTTGCCGGAGATGGGGCTTTGTCATACTCCGGGTGGGGCAGGGAATCCTCAAGCCCAATAGACCAAACCAGGCAACCTGCCCCAGGTTTCGAAATCCGGTAACTTCGAAGTCAAAACCCTGCGCTGTCAGAGCTACTTGCAGCTGGCACTGCCCCGCCTCCTCCAGCAGGTGCACAGGTCCTCTCGCTTCAAGCTGGGACCGATTGCCTACCCTCAGCTCATTGGCGCGCTGCCCTGCGAGAAGACTTTCACTGTGGAAGAAGCAGAGAAGGGGGCTCGGTGCTTCAGGCCATGCCGTTCCTTGTTGTTTCTTCGTGTTGCATAGAAAGCACAGTCTCAGTTGCTTTTCGAAGAGGGCAAGATTGCGGCGCTGTCCGAGGAAATTGAAGAAGGTTTCGACCGTTCGGCACCGATAGTCCAATAGTATGCCTCTGAGGGAAGGCTGACAAGCCTCACCGTTGAAGACCAGTTGACGGCTTGCCACCTTCGCTTGACAGAACCAAGGAATGAAACTGAGGCTGTAATTAATTCAGATGTTGTGATTTTCGGTGCAGGCATGGCAACACCTCCAACTACTATGCTTCTCATTCACCAGGCACGGCCAGGGAACAAGAATCAACGGTGGCAGGCCCACTTGGTAAGGCAGAACGACCGCGCACCACCTTGACGGCAGTGCTTTTGATTCTGTCATGTCCGAAGATGAAGAACACCATGATGATGATTATGATGATGATTATGATGATGATTATGATGATGATGATGATGATGAGGATGGTGATGAGGAAGCAGAGGAGATTGACGACGATCATGATGAGGAGGGAGAAGCAGAGACTAATGATCAGGAGGGAAAAGGTGCATGTGATGGTGATGATGATGATGATGTTGTTGTTGTTGTTGATCATGATGACGATGCAGATGGTGGTGGTGATGATGATCATCATCATCAGTCTGGTGATGACCTTGATGTTTGGAAGTGGTGCTATGACAGTGAGCACGGCAATCATGATCCTCACGGGGTTGATTTTGCCTGGTCATGATGACTATTGCGATGCTCGTGCTCTTGATCGTGCTGATGATGATGATGATGATGAGGACGATGAGGATGAGGATCAGGATGAGGTTGAGGATGATGCTGGTGATGGTGATCACCATGACCATGCTTGCCGTGATGAAAACTGTAATCGTGTGATGATGTCCCTGAAAAAGATATTCTTATGATGGCAAGTCTGTTTGTGGAGGCCATCATCACCGCTATCATCACCGTCATGCTTTCCATCATCATCGTCATCGTAGATGTCATCCTCATCATAGTGGTATTGATCTTGCGCCCCTGTTCGGCTTGCCGCGACTTGCCGGAGTGCGAAGCAGGCATCTTCCAGAAGGAGCTGACAGAGATGGGGACGGTTGCCAAGATCCACAAGCTGATTCCAGGCATCAACCACATGTCCAAACAGTACTTCTGGGGTGGTGACCGCAGCGGTGCTGCGCTCCACTACCATGTCGCTGCCTTCAATGTCCTTTTTGCTGGAGAGAAGGAATGGTATGTGCCGAGAGCTCAGAAGTGGAACATGCACTTGTTGTTCCGCTGTTGTCTTGGCAGATTGGCCTCACTCGGACGCTTCTGTGCAATTTTCAGGACGCCCCCATACCTCGCGGCTAGATCTGGCATCGCGACATACGAGCTTTTCGACAGGTGCCCTGGCTGCAAGGTCCTGGATGTGCATTGACAAAGGGCGTCAGAGGCACGCTTGCCTTCTTGTTTGTTTCTCTTGCACGGGATGGGTCGGAGCTGAGAGCCTCGCTCCAGTACTCGTATGTGTCAAGTGGCTGTGCATCCGAGGTCAGGGATTTCTATGGACCACGTCTTCCGGTGTCTCGCCCGGTGTCTGCAACGGTCTGCACAGATCAGTGGGTCTAGGGTTTAGGGCTTGGGAGCTTCAGGGTTTAGGAGCTCCGTGATCCTTTGCATCCCATACCGGGCCCACGACCCGCTGCGGCTGCCTATTGAAGGCTACTTTGTTCCAGTGTATCGGTGAGTGTTTGCAAGGAGTCTACTGCAAATATTACGTGTTGGTGAGTGTGTTTGGCTTTCCTTACAGGGGGGTGCCGTGCTCTTACTTGTTTCAACAACACCATGTTGCATTGTCACAATCAAGGTGCTTTGTATGTGGTTGGTCATACATATTTGCATAATCACAGGTATGTATGTATCCGTATACATGTATCTCTCCCTGGCTCTCTCGCTCTCGCTCTCGCTC